TTTAGATTCAGTTTGGTTATTTGGGGTGCTGATTCAGAAAATGGCATTGGATAGATCACATCAGCTCTAGTTTCTGATAGAGAACATATGCCATCTACTCACCATATTTAATAATATAGAGCTGTGGACCTCATTTTAGGTCTCGTGGCCCACCAGTGGGCTGTAGCCCACAGGTTGGGAACCACTGGTCTAGACTCTTAGTACTCTCACCCAAGGTGGAAGTACCAGAACAACATGCTTCCTTCTTCTTTAGGGAGAAAGACTCCTTCAGCAGAATGAAATTGATAGTTCCAAATGTGAAAGATGTCAAAGAAAAATTCAGAAGAGAAACTATGAGTAGCAGCAGTAATGAAAGATGATGCTGTCAGGGGATTTCTTTGTGAAAATGAGAGTGGCACTTTAGTTATTGTTAGTAAGGCTTATTAGAAGGCACTGAAAACCCATTTCCAAATGTCTTCTACTTGAAAAGCTCTGTGATTAAACAATACAAAATGAAGCAAGAGATATACCAGAAGTTGAAGCCTCCCGATCAGAAGGCACTCATCAAACTATTGGAAAAGTTCAAAGGACAAGTTGTGTTCAATGATTTCAACTGAACTCAATGATACACAGCTTCTCATCTATTCACATATGAAAGGGAAGTCCAGAGCTGTACAATGCATATAATAATAAGATTGTCGAAGGCTTTCATGGCTGGAATCACTCAGTTCTTGTGGGGTTTTTTCGGGCTATATGGCCATGTTCTAGAGGCATTTCTCCTGACGTTTCGCCTGCATCTATGGCAAGCATCCTCACCTCAACTCTGAGGATGCTTGCCATAGATGCAGGCGAAACGTCAGGAGAAATGCCTCTAGAACATGGCCATATAGCCCGAAAAAACCCACAAGAACTGAATAATAAGATTGTATGTGAGAAAACTGAATCAGGGAAAAGCTAGAAATTTTAAATAAAAAAATTGAACAAATAATCTTTACAGTACTTGGTGCTAATGAACAAAAGCGAATAGTAATAGAAGATTTTCAGTCAGATACTCTCAGTGTTTTACTGTAGAAATGACAATCTAAGGGGGGGGGGGGGAAGGATGCCATTCTTAATAAAGTTAAATATAGCCAAGTACTATACTGCAAAGGCGTAACTAAATAATATCAATATGATGCCATGAAATACCTATCAGTATAACTATAACACAACTACAAAAGACAAAGAAATGTTGTTGTTGTTCATTCGTTCAGTCGTCTCCGACTCTTCGTGACCTCATGGACCAGCCCACGCCAGAGCTCCCTGTCGGCCGTTACCACCCCCAGCTCCCTCAAGGTCAGTCCAGTGAAAGTCCAGTGAAAGTCCAGTGACAAAGAAATAGAAACATTCTATTGCTGTTAACTGCAATCAATCTGACTTTGACGTATAGTGACCTCATAAATGAGTCACCCTTTCATCAACAACCCTGTTCAGTTCTTACAAACTCAAGGCAGTGGCTTTCCTGATTGAATTTATCCATCTAGGATGTGGTCTTCATTTTTCCTATAGCCTACTAGGCTTGGTTGAGCCAAAAAAAAATGATTTCAAAACTCATTTCGGATATAGGGAGTGCTGGTGGTTTGGATCTAAAGACAATTCTGATTTTCACAGAAAAAAAGTTCAAAACTTTTCAAAACTTCTGAGACTTCCAAATCCTTTGTTAATGGATTCAAAGTGTTATTTCCTGTTTCATTGGGTGGTCTTTACTTTGAAAGTAGTTGTTTTATTCCAGAAGTGGAGTGGGGGAGCAAAGGGAAGAAATCCATCCACTCTGGTTTAAACTGCATCTCTCGCCCAAGGCTGACCAAGAGGGAAAGGAAACCAAAGGGAATCCATCCGCACAGGGTAAAACTGCTTCTCTTGGCCAAGGCTCACTGGGAGGGAAATCCATCCACACAGGGTAAAACTACATCTCACTCCTAAGGCTAACAGGGAGGGAAAGGAAACCGGAGGGAATCCATCCACACAAGGCAAAACTGCATCTCTCACCCAAGGCTGACCGGGAGGGAAAGGAAACTGAAGGGAATCCATCCACACTGGTTTGAAAAGCTGAGTCATTTCCAACTCACAGATTCATAAGAGAAATGGCAGAAGAAGCTTCAGAAAGGCAAAGGGACTTCTGTTTTCCTTAAAAACTTCAAAATCACTTCAATAAGGAAATCTTTCCGAATCTATTTCGAATTAAGAAGATTTTGACCGCACCTAACCATGCCTATTGCCTACCAGCATTATTATCTTTTCCAGTGAGTCATATCTACTCATGATATGGCTAAAGTATGATAGTCTCAGTTTAGTCATCTTGGCTTCTAGGATCAGTTCAGATTTGATTTACTTTAGGCTCCTTTATTTGTCTTCTTAGCAGTCCATGATATCTATAGAACTCTTCTCCAGCACCACATTTCAAATGAGTTGATTTATTTATGCAGGCATCCAAAACGAAATTGGTCACAGACCAAAATAGGGCATGATGGTAATCATACGTGACTGGAAGGCAAAAATAGGAAACATAGCAGAACCAAGATTGTTGATAAATTTTGCCTATAAATGAAGAAGGAAAGCAACTTAGTGAATTTTGTGAAGGTTTGTTGCAAACACATTCTTCAGCAACCATACAGATGTGGTGGTTGCTTCTTGACTAATATAGAAATTAAATAACTGGTGCAACTGGAATAATATAATCAAATACCTCTATTCTCTCTGGCAAATAGGACCTACTATTGCAACCAGATATGGAATGTGGGTACCTTTATTTGTACAGCCTCATAAATTAAAAATCTTGTGAGACTGGGATTTATTTATTTACTTACTTACTTACTGTATTTGTATACTGATGGTATTCTCAGGCAAAGTGTTCTAAAACAAACTATCAGTTACCCAAACTGGAGACTGGACTAAAGTTGGGAGAAGAATATAACAAGTGTAAATCCTGTGTGAGTTATATCTGTAATGTGACCAGAAATGTCACATTACCTTCCAATTTCAAAGGAAATTATTGCTACTTCCTGTTGCTTTCAGTGGACTATGGTTGCTCAGAGTGCTTCCAGACTAAAATTTATGCTGAAGCAGGTTTTTAAAAACCCGCTTTGGGACAGATTTCAGTCCCCACTGCTCCTCAAAAACCCAGGCTTTCCCAATGGGGTGGCTACATACCTAGCCACCATAACTTTCCTCCTTGTGCCCTCCTGTCATGAAGAAATGATATGCCAGGAGATGGGAGACCAAGGAGAAAACCCCCCCCCCCCCCCCGGTCTCCTGGCTCTTCATTTCCTTGCCCCAGAAGGGCCCGAGGAGGAAAGTTATGATTTCCAGGTACATTTTGCTTTAATTTTTAGGGGTAAATGGAGGGCTGGGGTGAGAGGGTGGAAGCCCAAAGAAGCAATATGACTACCCAATATGGCTGCCCCAGGACTACTCAGAAGAGAGTTCCAGCTACCCCTCATTTTGGAGATGAAGTCAGGTGAAGCACTAAGTGAGACACTTTGCCTGGCTAATATGATTATTTTCAAAACTGCATAGGGAAGAGATTGAAAAGCTACTGTATGGAATGGCCTCTGGAAAGATGGGAGGTTGGCCAGCAGGTTCAGTTAACCAACAGAATGGCATCAATAAGTTAATTGCATGTATTGACATGAGAAAGTGAACAGGGGCTGGATGAATACTTCTCCAGGGATAGCTCTAGAAATCTTGAAAATTGTGGTGACCCTTCCATACTAAGATTTTTGTACACAATCAGCCCTCCATTTTGCAGGATTTGCATCCATGGATTCAACCAACCATGACTGAACAATATTGCGGCGGGGGGGGGGGGGCATCCAAAGAGTAAACTTTGATTTTGTCATGCACTAAGCACTCTGCAGCAGTATAGGCACACACTGCTGTAGCCTCCTGTCATTTCACAGTTTTCAGACCCTCTCATTTCTAGTGTTCACCATTTTACATACTTTACTATGTCATTGTATATACTGGGATTTGAGCTCCCTTTGACTTTGTTTTCCATGGGGAAGGGCATGTCCTAAAACCAAATCACAGTGGATACCAGAGGTCCATGGTATAGTTATGTAGAGATTCAAAATGAGTCAGTCAGGAGATGTTAAGGCAACTGACAATCTACAAACTTTTGGCAAGTTCAGCCTATACAGAATACTCCCCTACTCAATGTTTGCTCATTGTGCCCTCCCATTATTTTTCTCTGTACCATATTACTCAAGAAGCAATGGGATGGAGGACTCAGTTTGGAGGGCTAGGAAGGAAAGCTCCATTGTATGCGCAGCCTTCTACTCATGTGTGTTTGGATTTAATCCATTGGAAACCTGTTATGTTGTTACTAAATGAAATATGTAATGTTAATGTTATGCTTGATCAAATAATAGTGCTCTTGAGAGATTTTAAACATATTATCTTTGCATCAAAGTCTGGCATGATTTTGCATTCTCAGCTGCTAAAGATGTGATGTAGTTCTGCTGATCTCGCCAACAGATTTTACTTAGATATTTTGGTCCACAATAAATTGAAAGAAAAAAAAGAAAAGAAATATTGCTATTCAGTTACTGAAAGGAATAATTAGGAGGTGCTTACATATTTTGCAAGGTTTCTGCACTTCAAACAGAAAACTATGCATGTGATAGATGGTGATTTGATTTTTTAAGAAATTTGCAAAGTACGGTTCTCTTGTAGTACAAAAAAGAGGAAAACAAAGTTATGGATCTGCCATATATTGACCTATTTGTGTGGCATCTGTATAGATATACATTAGCATGTCTATTTGTCAATTCTATATATTGCTAATAAATATTTTGAAAAGATATGAGATCAAAATAGCCTTGATGCAAGTTTAAACAAAGCCATGTGTGCGGTAATTGCCAGCTACTAGATCAAATAAATCTTGTTTTGTCTTTTGTCTGACTAATAAAAGTAAATAATTTTCTGTGATAAAATCTCTCCTGCATTTTTGAGTTTTAACTTCCCCTACATTTACTTTTCAGTTCTTCACTTTTGAACAATACAAGAAATTACTAGGAAATGTTTCCCTATCGCCAGCATTGGTAAGTGGCATAGACACAGAGTTGTGGAGAGACTGTTTTCATTTTGTATTCACTTTTAAATTTTAGGAAAAGACTAACTGGAAATGAGTTTTTTGGTTGTCTGGAGAGATCCCACCTTTTCTTTTCAAATTGGTCAAGAGAATTGAGCAAAATGAACAGAGGCTCAAGGATGCAGAAAAAGGGGAGAGGAGATCCAAAAGTACTGTGTGTAGTAGTTGAAAGTGTTTTCGGGAAGGAAAAAACTTTTAGCAACAGCCTCTCTTAAATTTTGGATTGCAACATCTAAGGGCTTATTGTCTCCTCTTCCTTCTCCTCTTTCTCTATACCCCACCTTTTCGCAAAAACTGGGACTCAGGACAGCTTCCTTGTGAAGTGAGAGCTTTAAAATCTCATACATGTGTGCAGACTTCACTCTTGTTGGTCTGAGCCCCATGGGGCTTTGTTTGTTTATTTCAATTGTGGAGATGAATGTGTGCCTTCAGATTCTTGGATAGTATGCATCGCATGGGAACTTGGCCACCCAGGTATCAACCCATGTAGCCAGTTTTTATGCTGTTACCAGAAAACAAATTGAAAGAGTGCATGAACAACAAATCCTGACCATCTGGATTATAGATTTGTTAGTTAAATGAATTTGGGATTGGAAGTCTTTCTGGAGTTTGGCTCTTTCAGTGGAAGCATTGTCACAAACACAGAAAGTATTGATGTTTTTTGCTTGTAATATGAAGTAAGAGTCTTTCTCGTAAAATCAGCCCATGAAAGTGAAAGTCTGCAGAAACTGATTTTTCTGAATATGCTTCTGTATCATCTTCATTTTCTTCTTCTTCTATTACTACTGCATTTGTCTTTGTCTCTTAAAATATTATTTCCCCATCTTTTATGGATTCTCTTTTTATGAGCTTCTACATCTTCCAGAAAACAAGAGATAAATCCTTAAAGTTACTACAAGGAACGCTTTGATTTTTCATACAAGTGTATGGTAGAGACCTCATGGGCCATCCAGTCCAACCCCCTGCTAAAAAACAGGAAAATCGCATTCAAAGCACACCTAACAGATGGCCACCCAGCCTCTGTTTAAAAGCCTCCAAAGAAGGAGCCTCCACCACACTCTGGGGCAGAGAGTTCCACTGCTGAACAGTCCCCCAGTTAGAAAGTTATTTCTAATGTTCAGGTGGAATTTCCTTTTCTGTAGTTTGAAGGCATTGCTCTGCGTCCTAGTTTCCCGGACAGCAGAAACGGGTTTGCTCCCTCCTCCCTATGACTTCCCCTCACATATTTGTACATGGCCATCATGTCTCCTCTCAGCCTGGTACATGGAGAAAACTCCTCGATGTGTCTTGAATAAATAATATAATGATTCACCAAGCCTCATGGACTTTTGGGTACTTGCCAAGTCATAAAATCATGATAGAAGTGGGTTGTCATGTCATTTCAAGAACTGTCCAGTAAGAAAATACTGGAGAAGAAAGAGGTATACTTCTGTTGCAGTAAATGCCTCTTGTTCTGGTAGACTGCCTCTGATTTTGATAGACTACACCCAAGAAAATATTCTTATTTGTCCAACAAAAGCCTGGGCACCTACTAGTTTTAAGCATTTGAAATAAGTAATTACTCAATATCATTCCTTGATATTCATTTTTTTCTTACTTTGCTCTCTAATTTCTTGTGTAAAAGTTCCATCTATAAAACATACATAAATTAAAAATGACTGAAACTACTAGAAGGGAGAATCCTCCAAAATGATTTCCTAAAATTGAGCTTCTTAAGCTCTTTATTATGGGAAGCCAGCAATGTTTTTTACCTCAGTGTGCCAGGGACTACCACCATATTGGTGCCCATTGGCTATAACTCTTTCTTTCTTCTCTAGAAACTCACTAAGTCACCAACTGCCCATGGACCACCACTAATCTAAATAATTTCTGATACCCAAAGAGTAATGAGTAAAAAGCCAAGTAATCAAGGAGGTTAAGATCTTCTGAGGAGGCCCTGCTCTCGGTTCCACCTGCTTCACAAGTATGGTTGGCAAGGATGAGAGACAGAACCTTCTCAGTAGTGGCTCCTTGGCTCTGGAACTCTCTCCCCATGAGATTAGAACAGCGCCCTCCCTCCTGGCCTTTAGAAAGGGAACAGAGACATGGTTATGGAACCAAGATTTGATTAGTAAACCAGTACAAGAAGCAAATACAGAATATGTGCAGCTGATATTGGATTGGCCCGGTCTACACGCTTGGATCATGTGATTTTAATGTTTTTATTAGGTGTTTTAATTCTTATATTTCATGTTTTAAATGTCTTTTTTCTTTTCTTAATGAATTCTCCTATTGATTTCATGCTTTCTTATTTGATGTTGATTTGTGATTTGGCATTGAATATTTCCATTATCTCTGTGTAAACCACTTTGAGTCCCCCCAGGGGTGAGAAAAGTGGTACATAAATACTGTAAATAAAATTTAAAAAATTAATTAGGTAATTTTCGTAAACAACCATGCTTATGTCTGCATTATTTTGAAAGTAACCTTGCTAATGGCAACTTATAATGCATTTCTTCAAAGTTCTAGTGGTTTCTGAAGCATCTATAGAAGGACTACATCATATGCTAGATTCTTATTTATATTCCACCTTTCTCCTTGGCTGGTGAGTTGTCTCCTAGATTAGGAATCTGTGCTGCAGAAGATGAGTTCTATGTGTAGTTCCATCTCTTCATTCCTCCACGATTTTATTTATATTCAACCTTTCTCCTTGGCTAGGACTCAGTAATTTCCATTACTTGATCATCACACAAAAAAGTCTGAATTGCATAGATTACGTCAGGAATACAGTTTGGCATAGCAGCCAGAAACCCAACCAATCAGTCCCATCCAGGTAAGATGGCATCACTGCCAATGGCCATTGCCCTAACATCAGAAGTATGGCAATGTCCTCTAAGATTATGGCTCCCAGGCCTAGTTGGGTCCCATTTTCATCTTTCAAATTAATTTCTGAGGAATTAGAAGCAAATGATTCCACTCATCTTCCCTTAGTCCCAAGCAGATGGTTGATGCTATCAATGCTGTCAGCGTACATATTTGTCCAGTAGATTTTAGTGTGCAGACCAGAATATTTGTAAGGTCTATACTTTGAAATATCCAAATTGGGGTTTGCTGAGAGCTATGCGATGTGCGGGGCTTGATGAATGCAAAGCTGGGGTAAAAATTGCTGGAAGAAACATTAACAACCTAAGATATGCAGATGACACCACTCTGATGGCCGAAAGCGAGGAGGAGCTGAGGAGCCTTCTAATCAAGGTGAAAGAAGAAAGCGCAAAAGCTGGGTTGCAGCTAAACATCAAAAAAACCAAGATTATGGCAACAAGAATGATTGACAACTGGAAAATAGAGGGAGAAAATGTGGAGGACGTGACAGACTTTGTATTTCTAGGCGCAAAGATTACTGCAGATGCAGACTGTGGCCAGGAAATCAGAAGACGCTTACTTCTTGGGAGGAGAGCAATGTCCAGTCTCGATAAAATAGTAAAGAGTAGAGACATCAGATTGGCAACAAAGATCCGCCTAGTCAAAGCCATGGTATTCCCTGTAGTCACCTACGGATGTGAGAGCTGGACCTTAGGGAAGGCTGAGCGAAGGAAGATCGATGCTTTTGAGCTGTGGTGCTGGAGGAAAGTTCTGAGAGTGCCTTGGACTGCGAGAAGATCCAACCAGTCCATCCTCCAGGAAATAAAGCCCGACTGCTCATTGGAGGGAAGGATACTAGAGACAAAGTTGAAGTACTTTGGCCACATCATGAGAAGACAGCAAAGCCTAGAGAAGACAATTATGCTGGGGAAAGTGGAAGGCGATTGTACTTTGGCCACATCATGAGGAGACAGGAAGCTTAAATTATGCTGGGGAAAGTGGAAGGCAAAAGGAAGAGGTACCGAACAAGGACAAGATGGATGGATGGCATCCTTGAAGTGACTGGACTGACCTTGAAGGAGCTGGGGGTGGTGACGGCCGACAGGGAGCTCTGGCGTGGGCTGGTCCATGAGGTCACGAAAAGTCGGAGACAACTGAACGAATGAACAACACAACAACGAGAGCTATCTGTTCAATTTTCACTCACTGTTGGGAGCAAGAAGAGGAGAATTTTTATTGATAATCTCATGTCATGGGCAGGTTTGTATAGCAAGAACAGCAAAGTATACTTGGAGCACCTGAAAGGCTAAAGGGCCCAGGAGAAGTTTTCATGGATTTTATAAAGAATGATAGTTTTGAAGACAATGCTTTCCAGCACCACACCACCCCTAGAGATGTTTTTTGAAGAGGTAATCCTTGAGGTCACCCCAAGAGGTCAAGCTAATATGTGTAGCTAACCCATACTTAATTATACCATTGCTTTCTCTATTGGTCTCTATCTAATTAGCCTGGTAAATTCAGGGCCCTTGACTTACTCTCTGAGATCCTGCAAACTAGAGATGCCTGATACCTGTCTCAAAACAGTTTCACACAAGTCAATTTTCTATAATTATGCTCACTACAAGAAAAAAAGCATTATAACTTCTTGATTCTTTTCTTTGTTGCATATTGGTGAATAGCATTATTGAGCATAACTTGCAGTGCACCCACTCTATAAAATATATCAGACCTTAGAAAATGTATCTGGTGTGGCTCTTATCTCAGTCATACAGGTAGGAATGGTAGGGTTTTTTTTTTTCTGGAGATGCTTCTAAAAAAAAAAGAAGACAGTTTCTAATAGTATTAAAATGAAACTAAAATAGTAATGTATAGAAAATGGATGAGAAATCAATATTAAAATGTTTAATAAAACTTGTGAGTGGAGTACATGGAAGCTGTAAGTTTCCAAGCCTTTAAGATAATAAATGTTGTATTAATATTTGCACTATAGGAAAGGTCATGTGTCCATACACAAGCAAACACAGAAACAAATTTCATTTGAAAAATTGTCCCACAAATGTCCTTTATGGTGCCAATATTTGGCGCTACCCAAAGCAAGAACCAGGAGTGTTTTACAAGTTATGATCCAGTACATCTTCAGTGATACTGTGGGTGAGATAGAGCTGCAAACACTTGTAACTCCAAACCATTATGGTTTACAGACGCTTGTTCCTTGGCTGACTGAAATTATCGCAGATGGAGGATATACTAAACTAGTTATTTGGATCAGCTTGTAAAGTTCAATGAGCACAGCTGGATGCAGAAATGTCATCATGTTAAATTGTGGGTTGCTCCCTGATGTGCTGAGTTCTATGGATATTAAATACAGGCAGAAAAAAATCATGGGCATTGTGACGTATATAGAAGCTACTATGTCAAACAGTTCTCTTCTGAAAGCAAATGCAAGCTGAAAGCTACAATTTCACTTTTGATATCTAACATAAGCTCTAAGGATCTCATCACATGAAGCTTAGGTGCTGTCCTAGGACTCTTCCAGGAGGAAACCAGAATGGAGCCGATCAGAGTCTTTCACATGACACAGGGCTACTTCCAGTGGGCCTCCAACCTAGCTCCATCCTGGAAGTGTCCTAGCACGAGGCCCTGAACTCATGGATGGCTACCCATATTTTCATTAGGTAAGCCAGGGACAGCAGCAGGAGGGGGAGCCCAGAGACGAAACTTTCCCCCATATGATGTAGAAGCTGGCAATGTAACGCACAGGATGATAGTTTCTCCTGCTGCCTCCCAGATGTGCCCTGCCCTCCCACAGATGCCCCCCGTTTGAGGACCTCAATGTGACAAAGTCCTTAGAGAGATCTTCTGAACAGATGACAATATTGGCTTATATATACTAGTGCATTTGTGATCACCTTTGGGGAAGTGGATTATGTCTTATGTTGTCTATTATATGAAGCTTCCAGAGAGGGAGTTTTGTTAGAATTTGTCTCTGCACAAAAAAATTGAAGGTCACAAACTTCATCACTGTCAAACAAGCCATCACAGGTTTTCTCAAATGTATTATTAAATACATTGGCTTAGATCCCAAAGTATGGGAATTCATGGAGGGAAGGTTTAACTAATGTTTCCCACTACATCCCTTACTCTGTTCTGTAGCCATGAAGACATTGTGAGAAATGCCCCAGAAGTGGACAAAACACAGCCACAGACCATGCTTCGTTGGTATCCTCCCCACACACATCTGTTGTGTGATGGGGAGAAAGGCAGTAGAAAAAACAATGTAAATAAATAAATAACATTGTTTAAATACTCTAAAGGCAACAAGTCCCAACTGATCTTAGAAGCCAAGCAGGCTCAGCCCTGGTTAACACTTGAATAGGAGACTGCCAATGAGTAACAGCTGCTGTAGGCCATATTTCAGAGGAAGCAACTGGCAAAGCCATCCAGAGTGTTTTTAGCCTTTAGAAAGCCTATGAAATTCATGTCGATAGACAACTTGTAAGCAAACATGGAGAGGACACAGCAAGTGACTCATGCGTAGTAGCATGAATTAATTGGGTACAACTCCAAAGTTTTAAATAAACCTAAATGTTTTTTAGATTATAGTCAAAAATATTGTTTGCACTAAAAAGGTTTTAAAGGGATTTTACTATGTTTCACTGCATTATGTACACACTTTAAGCACTCTTTGCAATTTATTGTTTTCCTTATTGTGGCTATGTATCAAGTTGTTGTTATAGGACATGGTTGTTATACAGTTTTTATAGGTCACATTAGCATATTTCTTAGGGCTTTTCAGAAGTTAAATTTGCCCTGAAGAACTTTTTGATGAACAAAATGGTTTTCTGAATGGGAATCTATCAATGTAGTCAATTTTTTCTTTGTAATTAATATACTACATCATTATCCATTTGTTTTATGCTCTGTAAGTGATTTTAGAAGCTATCTTTGTGCTTAGATTGTATAATGTAAATTTACAAGTTAATACTCTCCTTAAATAGAACACCGAGGACATGCTTTCCCCCATATACATTTCTTAAACCAGTTACAAAACGTTCCTTCCAGCTAGAGAAAATGTATTGTTGATAGGACTTTGACATTTTATTTTGAGTATTTGGAATGTGGTTTGTGGCTTTTGTAATTTCTTCTGCATGAACTGTCAACATCTAATCAAGGACGAAAGCTGTTTAGTAATGGTATACTCCTGTGCAAGGGTTGGTCTCTCCACTTTCATCATATCAGTCAGCTTAATGCTCAGCTTCAGAATGTGATGTGCGGGATGTTTTGTTGCAATGAGCTTGAGAACTGATTGATTTAACTCTTTTAGGCATTTGCAGTTGCTGGCTTGGGATCTGGGCTAACAGAAGCCGTTGTGGTTAACCCTTTTGAAGTAGTCAAGGTTAGCCTGCAGGCAAATCGGGATGCTTTCACAGAGGTATGACAACTGAAAAAAATTCAAAATGTTGGAAAGAAAGCAGAATAAATGAATAATATGTATGAAATCTTCATGAAGACCTGAGTAACATCAGAGCTGGGAGGGGAATCACTGAGCAGATTTTTAAAAATGTAATAATCATTGTTTCTATTGCCACTGGAAAATAGCTGGGAAAACAAATTTGATATGGATAATGTGGTAGAAAATATTTATTTGGGAATGATTGTGTCATCTATTAAAATCTGAGAATATATTTCAAACTCTATAAGCACAGAAAACAGGGAAAGTAAAAGAAAGAATTAAAACAAGGGGAAAACAGAAAGAAAATAGGATTTTGATTTAAAATAGATATTGCCTCTCGGAATTTACAAAATATGTAGGCAAAATTAAAATTTGCTTTCTCAGAACTGCACAATCAAATGTCCTTTTATGGTTTTTAATTAAAAAATACACAGAGAGAATAAAGTTCTGTCCAATAGCCATTCCTCCTAGGTGACACACCTTCTTTGGTTTTGTTGTTTATTGGTTCCATCACTTCCAATTCTTCGTGACCTCATGGACCAGCCCACACCGAAGCTCCCTGTCAGCCGTCGGCACCCCCAACTCCTTCAAGGTCAAGCCAGTCACTGTGAGGATACCATCCATCTGTCTTGCCCTTGGTCCTTCCATTTTTCCCAGCACCATTATCTTCTCCAAGTTTCCTGTCTTCTCACTATGCAGCCAGGTGCTTTAGACTTTCCCCGTTTCCCACATAAAATATATACTAGATTTCAGAAGAGGGGGAGTTTTTACAAAACTTCATCAAGGAAAGATTTTGAAAATGCCATTATTTATGTGGACTTTAAAATAATGATAAACTTATCCAGAAGCAGGACAGGCAAAACATAATGTTGAAAATCCAACAAGAAGATTAAGGTTATATGCCACAATGGCTCATTGAGGAATAACCATACAAGCATCAGAGCAACAGTTTTCTCTCATGGAACCTTTTTCTTTTGCTGCTCTAGTCTATAAAACATTTAAAAACAGAGGCACATACAGAAGATCACACTATTTCAACACCCCCTTCTTGAAATGGAATTATTCTCCTTCTCTGTATTAGCTTTTTATCCAAGTCTCTTGTATAAACAAACTTGGGCTTTGACTTTAGACACAACTGAATCAATGAGGGTAAAATGTGTCTTGACATGTTTGAATAAACTCAAGTGCTTTCTAAAGAAAAGGAAAACAGAAAAATGGGAGAAAATTCCTTTCCTCATTTAAATAAATGAGGTTTTATGTCTTTAAAAAAATACTAGTAAAATCTCGTTGCGGAAAAAAATAATTAGTGGACCACAGGAACTTGTTTTAAAACATGTGGAGCACAAGGCAGTTTGAGCAGCAGCATTATTGGCTAAATTTTCAAGAGTCATCTAATCAAAACAACATTTATTTTAATAATAAGTGATAAATACAAAGTGCTGGTTATTACCAACAAAGCCCTAAATGGTTCAGGCCCTGACTATTTAAAAAACTGCATCTCCACATACAGACCAGCACGAGCACTGTGGTCTGCAGAGGAGGCCCTGCTCTCGGTCCCACCCCCGTCTCAAGCTAGTGGAAACGAGAGAGGGAGCCTTCTCCGTGATCGCTCCCCGCCTCTGGAACTCCCTCCCTAAAGAACCAAAAATGGCCCCCTCTCTCCTCTCCTGTAAAAGGCTTTTCAAAACTCATCTATGCACTCAATCTTAAGGAGAAGAGGAGGACTAATTACATCTTTATATATTCCCCACCTAGTTGTTCAACACCTACCTTCGCCTGTTAGAAGGTGTATACCATCTTAGCTCTAATATCTTAGCCAAATGTTAAGAGTTTTAAAGGATTTATTATGTTGTAAAAGTTTGAAATGTATTATGTTGTGTTTATTTAAGTTGTTATTTTTATTATTTTTATTCAAACTGTTATTTTGATTTGTTATGTATTGCCCTTCGCACTGAATGTTTGCCACTGTGTTCTTTTTTTTTGTTGGAAGCCGTCCTGAGTCCCCTCGGGGAGATAGGGTGGGTTATAAATAAAGCATTATTATTATTATTATTATTATTATTATTATTATTATTATTAAGTGGAGAAATAATTACATTAATAAAATATGGAGTATTTTGGTTTTCCCACTATAAATCCAAAAAAGACCTCACAACCTCTGAGAATGTCTGCCATAGATGCAGGCAAAACGTCAGGAGAGAATGCTTCTAGAACATGGCCATATAGCCCCAAAAACCTACAACAACCCATCTATTTAACTCTCTAGATCCTCCAACTAGAAAGAGTGAAAGTGGCAGAAGCAGTGGTGCTGGTTGCTTCCATGTCAATAGAATGGCTTATTCATTATGGGTTTCCAACTGAATTTTAGATTGCTTCTTTCAAGTTCAGGTGAAAACTCACAGTAAATTCACTTTCCCACTGTTAGGGGGAGAGCGGTCTAGAAATATATTATTATTATTATTATTATTATTATTATTACGAGATACATAACAAGATTAGTACACAAGTGCAGAAATGGCATTAAGAAACCCAAATCACCCAAATATGAATCTTTAAAAGGAGCCAGTCCCAGGTTCCCAACAAACTAAGTTTTGGAGTGGAAAAATGCAAGCCAATCATGCTAAAAGTGGTGAGTAACCAGCTCACCTTTAAGTTGCAAAAGGGGCTGAACTTGATCCAGAGGTTTACCTCCTATTCTTCATATTCACTTAAGGTATTTTGCAATTGCAGACATTAATTTAAAAGTTAGCCAAGATCATACTGTATGATTCTATGGGAGTCAAATATTAATCAAGGTAATTGAACCATTTGGTTTGATTCTTATCACTCATTTTGAGCACAGTCTCAGCAAAAATTAGCTGCATAGTTTGGGGATAGGAGGCTCTATTCTCTTAAACCATTCCCAAACAAATGACTCTTAACTTTTCATTGAGACCATTTTCAGCATAGTAAGGCCTTTCCAGACTAGTCCCATAGCAATATATACCTTTGCAGTGTTATTCTTGTTTTTTAAAAAAGACAGATTTATTTTGCAAGTCATAAATACTTATACTTGTTAAATGCAGGTAAATCAGGGTGAAACAAAATATTAAAAGAAAGCTCAGTATGACTGTCATCTGAATAAGCATCCACCTGTTGGGTTAGCTATTTCAGGGATCATTTGGCTGTTTTTCCTGATCATTTTGATAGCATATTTGAAATGAAAACATGCTAAACAAATAGGTATAGTGAAATTAGGACTGTTTATTGTACTGTAGTCAAAATTGTCTTCATTTCCCTGTTTAAGCATCCTTCCGGAAGCTACGTTTTGCCTTTCTGATTAAATATTTGATTACACAAAGGTAACATTAGCAAAAAGAAAAGCTAAGTAAGCAAATACTTGGACAGCAAAATAAACCTTAATTGAAGACTGGAGGCACAACAGAGGCTAGAAGCAATATTCCACAGTGATATGTTGTTCCAGATTAGAATGGTTCAAGTTTAAGTTACTTTTAAAATGGTCACATAGACTAACCACAAAGTCTCCCAATCTAAAAATTCTTTCTACCTGGTTGAGTTTGGTTGAGTTTGTTATAGATGGTCTATGAAGGAAGGTTTGTAATTTCTGGTTTAAAAAGCTACAAAGGAAAAGTGATGTGTTCCTTTCATTTTAAAATTTACTTACTATATAGTCTAAAGCAGTAGAGAAGACCTTTTGCCCTGAGGACCCAATCTGGTTCAGTAAGGGTCAGAATCCAACCCCTCCTCTTTTTTTTTTTTTTTTTTTGCTGTGCTTTCTCCTCCTGAGATATCATTGAGTGAATCTTCACAAATCTCTCTAAAATGAGATAGCAGGTAGTGTTTCTCCCACTGCCAGCTGTGCTTCTCAGAACTTGGTGAGTCCCAGTTTAGGACTTAAGGACCTGTCACCTCATAACCCATGCCGTCGAAGATGTCCCGGATCACCACATCCCACTGGGGGCATGGGAACCTGTCGCCCCATATCCCGTTCCATTGCAGTTTCCCTCACTTCCTCATCACATGGGGGGAAGCGCTTTTTCAGCAGCTGAACCCACCTTTCCTTATGGGAAGACAGGGACCCTGCTGTTGTCTGCCATTGTCATCTTTTCGGCGGCGGCAGCACTTCTGCCACAGAGCTGCCTCGGGATTAGTTATCCATTGTGTGATGGGAACCATTGGGCTCTGTGGCTGAAGTCCCAAAATACTCTTAAACTGCTTAAAATACGGTATGTGTGAAGAGGTCCCTAGAAATTAAAGGTGAAAGATTGTTTCCCCCTCCTGAATCCACACCCAAGTAGAAAGAAAGGGAATAATCCTTTAGTACTTCAACAAACATTCCCAGGAGCTTCTAGAAGCATTGATGCAGATAAGATAATTCCTATGTGGGGAAGAGGGTGAGGAAACGAAACTGAGCACACCAACTTGACACTTCTAGGGGATCGTGGAGACATTGACTAAGATCATTTAATTCCCAGCCCCATGGAGTGAGGAGACTGGAGGGCACAAAGCCTTCGTTCCACACCAAAGCACTGACTAAAAAAAATTCTAACCTCACAATCTAAGAATCACAGAGACACTTTACACATCCCTTCCTTACACATTTCCTTCACCCATTCAATCAAAATTTAAATAGGACATGTCTCATGTACCTCTGTGATGGTAACCATTTGGCTCACATGTCTGTATTGTCAAACGAAGGCGCAGCTTGCTGCAATAGAAAGAAACAGACTGACAAAATTAATTGTCACAGAGGTGGGAGATGTTTCTCATGCTCCCCAAGTGTCTCCCTAAATGGTTAAATAGGTGCAGTCCCAAGAAAATAAGCCTGCTGTCTAGGCATATCCATCCTTGAAACTCTGTGACATAGGAACACTCCACTTTACAGGGAACACCAACAGCAGCTGTATGAGAGCTGCTTCAGTTCTCCATTTTTGTTCATCAACATACAGTAAGACAAAATAAATCACACACATCTGTGTCTATGTACACTGCTATTTCTGCACCTTTGATAGCACTGAATACTTGGGGGGGCAGAGGAGATATCTCTCATGAGTCCAAAAGCACTTGTTTCTTCACAAAGAAATAAAATTTATGATGCATGGACATATATTAAGATGTTTCATACAGTTTTGTGACCAGAAAGTTCTGGTACAGCTGGAAATGTGTATGTGAATAGATTAGTAATAAAGCTGCATCTATTTTTATTAACAAGCAGTGATAGAAAATGGGGCAGTTGATTTCTTCTGAGTTGAGATCTAAAAGTTAAGATCCAGTTTTTACATAGTTTCTTTAAAGTTCAGACAAAATATGACCAGCCATGGATGCATCTGTCGATTCCCATCCTTTCCAGCTCTTCCCCAAAAAAGGCTTAGCACTTTAACAGCACTATAAATGTTTAAACTAAAACTTGGGGAATATTTTGGGCCAGTGACATATGATCTACTAATTGCCACCGATTAAAAAGTGGCTAGCAATTTAATATGGGCTGCACATGATCTTCACAATCTAATCTCACATTCTGTGAGATCTTATTTTATTTCAAGCAGCTTCTGACATTTTGCTTTGTTCTGACAGCAACCATCCACCTTTGCCAAAGCTCAACAGATTATTAAGGCCCATGGCTTGGGTCTCAGTGGGCTCAATAAAGGATTAACCGCAACCTTAGGAAGGCATGGAGTGTTCAATATGGTTTATTTTGGATTCTACTTCAATGTAAAAAGCATAATTCCTGCCAACAAGGTAAGCACCTCATTGCATAAAACAAAGCCAAAAAATCAGGGTATGGATTTGGTTGCCATAGTCACAGTGCTTTTCTTTGAAACACTAATGACTAATGACTCCAAAAATTAGAAGCACTACCAGTCCCACCTATCCTTTGAAGCTCATCCATCATACTTTTTCCACTGCTCTAATGCTCTTTCAGATTTCTTTACTAGAAATCAAACAAAAGTCTGGTATCGCCTTGCATCAGGAGACATAGCATGAAGTTTCACCCAGATAGAATTATATACCATTTCCCTCCAGCAAAACTCAGTTTCCTCCTGTGGAGGTATTTTATGGTTAGTAGAGAGTGGTGGGGCAGTATAGAGACATCTGGCTATGTTCCTATAAGCCAGGTGGACAAAACAGTGCAATATTAGGAGATCTCAGAAGATGGCTTCATGCATCTCACTATGGGGACATTCAGTGGAGGGGAGGTCTCTATAGGAGGAAGGTGAATCATAAATCATGAAGGATGAACATCATTATAAAAAGGAGATAGTAAATTCCTTCCTTCACAACAACCATGATAGAAGATGGTTGTTACTGTGTACCTCCAAGTCATTGCCAATTTATGAAAACCTAAATAAAACTTACTACATGTTTTCTTGGCAAGATTATTTCAATGAACGTTTGCCATTGACTTCCTCCTCTGTGGCAGAGAGAGCATGCCTTGCCAAAAGTCACCCAATAGGTTTTCATGGCAAGCAAAAACTTAAACCCAGGTCTTACAGCTCGAAAAACCTACAACAACCCACTAGACCCAGGTCTTACAAAGTTCATTCAAACCAGTGTACTGTGCTAGCTCTTAGACCTTTTCCTGCATTTTTCATTAACAAAATGCTAGCTATTATTGTCTAGCAGGCCTAGTGTTCCAATGTAATCTCAACCAGAAGACCTTTTCCAGATTTAAGAGTAAATAACAGAGGGCTATTGCCCTCATATACTGAACATAAACTTCTCACAGGCATTTAGCTGAACATTGCTGAACTAACTGGAGAGAAACAACCTGACTAAAGCAGAATACAAGGCAGTTGCAGTCCTAAACTTAATTTTCACTCCTTTGTTCCCAGATGTAACATCTTTTTTTACAGAAGACAATCAATTGGTTCACAGAATGAGTACAAAGCTGAGTTGAGGCTCTACACCCCAGTCATCAAGCACATTGATCACTGGAGAAATATTTCAATTTAAACACTTTTTTCAATTTGAAATAATTTTGTTTGTATGCTAAGCTAAGATATTTCAGCTTCAAATATTTCTTGTTTATCCATGGTCCAAGCAGGACATGTATGGTTTGTACCTCATCCTCTAGTAGAAGGAGAGGCCCTCTCCACTACGTTTAGATCCTGGACCACTACTGGGTGGCTTCTCCACCCCAATTTGGCTCTAAAACATAATTCCTATGCTAATACATCCTAACAGTTGCTATCAAATTCAACTGTGAAAATGTTTCCATTTATCTTATGTGAAATGGTCAAACAAAATAGCATTTCACCTCAAGAAAATAACTGGTTTGACATTTTAAGGTGCCAAATTCATGCTGTAAAGTGGTGTAGAGGGGGCAAAAAGCGTTCAAGGATTGCAAGAAATATACTTTGTATGTAGCATACTATTAGCATTTCAGGTTGTTATTGTTTTTAGCTTCCATGACATAAAATGGAAGTCCTGTTATAAACTACCTTGGAAATTCAGCACGGCAGCATTCCCTTTTAGTTTTCAGTGTTCACACATATGGGATTAGAGTTTATTAAGGAAAAGTTCACTTCCAGATAAACTAATTGAGCACTTTGATGTTCCCAGGAGTACCTGGGTAGGAAGGCTGTCTGAAGGAATAGAAACACAGTTGGATTGTCTCAGCTCATACAGAAAAACGTTATTTCAAGTTTGGCTTTACAACCAATTTTTACCTTTTTAAAAAAAATCAGGGCAAAATAGGAGGCTTTGGGAACAATGTGTTGTAAATTCTTCAGCCAATTAGCTTAGTGAATTACTACTGTTTATAATGCACAGGGCACTGAAGTCTGCTTTGCAGTTGTACCGCTGCTGGATTGTTAATAGCAGGAAGCCAGCCCCGCTTCGTACAGTGCATCAGCTACACATGAAGCTAAATGTAAAAAACCTGGAGGGGAAAACAGCAGACTGAGATTAGCCTTTATTTAATTTAACATTTGGGGGTCCAACACACAAATGAGCATTTTAGTAGGCTTCATGGTGGAAGTTGCTGTCATTTGTAAAATATTCTGGCCAATTAGCTAATAGTGTGCTTGGATTTCTCCCGTTTTGATACAGTAATACTAAGTACATTGTGAAGCCCAATTATACAAATCATCCCCATATGCCGTACTGGCCTTGCTTTATGAACTGTGTTTATAAATCCTGTGTGAGGAAATGTGTACTTCAGCAATTTAGACCATGTGTAAAAACATAGCCAATAGGATTGTCAAGAAATGGAGCCCCAATGTAGGAAATCCTAATGTGTTCCGCTGTAATAACAGGAGTGTGTCGTATCGTGCAGGCATTTTGATTAAAGGCACATTACTTTATAGTCTTTAACCAACTGAGGTGCTTCTGTTCCTCTTTTGTTTGCCCTCCCTCCCTCCCTCCCTTCCTTCCTTCCTTCCTTCCTTCCTTCCTTCCTTCCTTCCTTCCTTCCCTATTTCCCTCCTTCCCCATCTCTCTGTCTTGTTGATTTATCTAGGATCCAACTTTGGAATTCCTAAGAAAATTTGGGATCGGGCTGGTCTCAGGAACAATAGCCTCCATTATTAACATCCCTTTTGATGTTGCAAAAAGTAGGATTCAAGGACCACAGCCGGTTCCTGGAGAGATCAAGTACAGAACCTGCCTTAAAACTATGGCAACGGTCTATAAAGAAGAAGGGTAAAGCATTCTTATTTCAATCATAAATATCCAGGCCTCTCGTTTGTTCAGGCAAGTCCATAAAACCACATTGTTATATTTCAAATTTGATGAGGCCCATAAAAATCACCCTGCAAAGTGCTTGTGTATCAGGAGGACTTGAAAGTTGAGCTTTGCAGAAATAGGCATACACCAATTACATGGGGGGAAATATCTTTCTTTATCTAAGTTTTCTGGATTTTCATTGTATTTTTTATTTTAAAAAACCTCTAAATGTGTCTATAGCAGAATATTAAACTTGCTGTTTCCCTTGATAAAATTAGAAAAGCAGGATACCTTCAATTGCTTCAGTTATTTGTGAAGAAAATGAGTTACCACAAACAGATGTTATAATGATTGTTGATCTTGACTGGTTTGTATATTATGCAAAGTTGAGAAGTTCTTGTACTCTATACAACTAACTGGTCAGTCCACAAGAATAGAGCTTGGTACTGCTTCTATGACCACTTCCTAAAAACCCACTGTACTATGTACCGATGATGTAGACTTAAAATCCAGTCCAGATCTGGAAGCCTATAAATTTGTTGGAGCACATGCCAAAAAAAAAAAAAAAGAGAGAGAGAGAGGATGTTTATCACTACATTTTACTTATCCCTATACTGATAGCAGAAAAGTTTATTTCCCTCACTTTTATGTCACCACATTCTTAAGAAAATGGACACACTTAGAATTGCGATGAACAACTAAAATTGCCTATACTTGGTTTATAATATTTATGACCTCATCACGTGGGCTTTCAGCCCAGTCCTAGGACACTGCCAAGATGCAGCCAGGACAGAACCCATCACATGATGCAGGGCTACTTCTGGCAGGGCTCCTGCTGGCTCCCTGCATGCTGCATCTTGGCAGCATGCTAAGTGACAGTCCTGAGAACACAGGTCGCTACCTGTGTTCTCATAGAGTAAGCCAGGGACAGCACAGTAGCAAGCCAAGAACAAACTGGTTTCCATGTGGGATGGTAAGGGGGCGATGCAGAGTGCTGTCCAAAGGATTCTCCCCACTGCCCAACAAATTCACTCTGAGGTCCCATGGATGCCCCGGAACCTCCATGTGATGAAGTCCTTAGAGACCATGAGAAGCAGAAAATTTATTTCAGCCATGTCTTCCTGTTCTTTTTTTTGGGGGGGGGGGGTGGACTTCCAATGTTTTTTATCATCATCCTGAGTAGAAAGAGACCAAACATCACTTTGATTGGTGTACTCACACCAAAGTTCCACCAAGTGCCTGGATAATAACATCTTTTGTTGTTGTTGGTTACCTTCAAGCTGATTTTGACTTAGGATGAACCTAAGGTGAACCTACTATGGGGGTTTCTTGGCAAGATTTAGTTAGGTGTACATGTGCCTTTCTCTGAGGCTGAGAAAGTGTGACTTATCTGAACTCATTCAATGTGTTTCCAAGCCTTTGAATCTTGGTCTCCAAGAATCCTAATCGAGAACTCAAATCACTACACCAGCTCTAAAAAAATTTTATATGTGTATATATTTTTCCTTAATGCTGGTCATTGACCACACCAATAAATAGTGGTCAGAATCCTATATGGGAGTTATAGTACTATGCAATATATTCCAGCCCAACTCACCCAACTCCTACATAGTGAGCAGCTGCCATTGTAATTAATGGGGTCCTGTTCCTCTGTCACTCAGGAAACACTTGACTGCCATTTCCATCCCCTCCTTTGAATGATGCCTGGTATTACAAGCAAAAGCAGGACCCCTGTTGCAATTCCACCTCATGCCACAGGTCATTCTTGCAAAGAGAGACAGGAATGTTCAGCCAGCTGCTCCTTGATCGAAAAAGAAACAGACTCCTATCAATCACAGCAGATCCAGTACCCCAAACTTGGTTCATGTCAATTCTTCTGAAATGAAAACCCAACCACAGTTGTATTCATTCAGGTGTGGTCCTGGCTCTGCATGTTTCATGTAGTTGCTATTAAGAGATGTGTCTTGTTGATTAAAGTCATGTTTTGAGGGCCCTAGCACACTCCACTCTTATGCACTATTATTCTACTTTAATTGTTATGGCTGCACCCTGTGGAATTCTGGGATTTGTAGTTCAGTGAGACCCAAGAGCTGTTTAGCTGAGAATTCTAAATCCTCGTCCCAAAACTGTAAATCCCAGGATTGTATACAATGTTGCCATGGCATTTGAAGTGGAAAAATAGCACTATAACAATGTGATGGGACCATTGAAGGATCACAGAATAGTCATTACAGCTGAACATTAATCAGCTGTTTATCCGTATCCTTAATATTTAAATTCAGACTCTTTGTATTTGTTATTTCACAATACTTTTTCCATGCATTAACTAAGCAATGCATTTTTTTCTAACATTATAAAATAAAAACATTCTTCTTTTATTTTTCTACAGATTCTTAGCTTTGTACAAAGGATTGGTGCCTAAGATCATGAGGCTTGGCCCAGGTAACTTTCCTTCCTTAATTGTTTTGAATCCTGTCTTGATCATTTTTTAAACATTGGTTTCATTCGGCTATTGAGAACAAAAAAAAAGGCTACATACAATCAATTTAATAGCAAGATTATGCCACTGTTTGAATTATTCAAAGCTTGGGGGAAATTACATTTTGGACTACAACTCCCAGAATCCCATAGCCAGTGAAGCTGTGGACCCATAAGCAACTTTTCTAAGCTCTGCGCTCATTGCCGTGTTGTATTTTTCTTATAGTTCTTGACAATTGCTCCTTTCCTCCTTCCCCATACTTGCTCACTACTCAGGTGATAATATTGTCATGAGTCAGAAACCCAGAGAAAAATGCCGGTGAGAGTAGAGGGCAAAGCCGGTTTGCCTGATCCTGTTAGCCAGGAAGAGAATATAAATGTAGTCTGAATAAAGTACAAGTCATTACTTGCCTTTGTTGCTGTTGATCCAAATAATTGGGCAGACACCTTTTTATGTGTCATGTCATTACCCTACATTTTGTGTGCTTTTTGGATGTATTTTATAGTTGCACACATATAAAATACATTTGAATTTTATATTCCAGCTGCATATTCTTTAGCCTATATTGATGGCCAAAATTTAGAGATAGATTAGTGCTTTTTTCATATCAGGAGTGACTTGAGAAACTGCAAGTCATTTCTGTTGTGAGAGAACTGGCTGTCTGCAAAGACATTGCCCAGGGGACACCCAGATGTTTGATGTTTTATTATCCTTGGTGGAGTCTTCTCTCATGTCCTTGCATGGGGAGCTGGAGCTGACAGAAGGAGCTCAACGTGCTGTCCCCAGATTTGAACCACAGTGGTCCTGCCAGCACAAGGAGTTAACCCATTGCACCACCAGGGGCTCCTATAGATTAGCTTAGAAAAGGTTTTTTGGAATCATCTCTCCAGCAGCCAGCATGGAAGGCTTTGGACTATAGTGTGAAAAAGTATATTTTCCTGACCCTGAAATGGTCACATAGGGTGTATCTATACTGTGCATATATTAATTTCATACTACTACCATCACCCAATGGATTTCTAGGATTTCCAGTTTGGTGAGAACTACTTAGAAATCTCTGCTAGAGAAGTCTAGTGCTTGTCCAAAGATAATTCTAAATGCTCACCACCAAATACAAATTCCAGGATGTCATAATGATCACACTAGTATAAAACTGATATAGTTATGTACATTATGCTAGTTATATCCATGGAGATCAAAACAGACTTGTGTTTGAGGAGCTGGCTCAAGACCCCCTTCACACATCCGGTGTAAGCTAAAAAGAGAGGAATGAATTGACTCTTGGATAATTTTGTTCATTGCCTGTTAAAGGGAATACAGTAAGCCCTCCACTTCCATTGAGTTTGGTGATGTGGAACCCCCATGAAACTGGGAAAAAACATGATTCCCCCTCCTCTATTTTTTTTATTTGAGAGAATATCTCTGTAGGGATATCTCGGTCCTCCAGATGACTCTTACATGGAAGTAGACCACAGAGTCACCTTGGAGGACCTAGAGATTCCTAGGAGGAGCATGTTAATCAATTCTATGAATAATCAAATCCAAAAAGTTAAAATTGCAAATGTGGCGGGACAACTATACAACCTTTTTCCTGCTTACTTTCTGGCTTCATTTTCAAATACATGTCCACATATATATCAGCTAACTACATTTTATATTATTTATGTGGTATTAAGAGGGTGGTCCATATGTGGTATTACGATACCACATATGGACCAAATAAGCATGGCCTTTAACATGGCATAATTTTCAAACTTGCTTTAATAATGTAGCTGCATCATCTTAGTGTCATGAGTGTATTTAAGTCCATATCAGTCTTCAAAGTCTCACCCAATTTCCTTCCCAGATTGTACTTGTTAGACACAGATAATATCAGTCATGTTTTTGCACCAAATTCCATAGGAGTTTCAGTTCTGTCCCATATGTGAAATTATAGAAATCATTAAAGGGATCCGATTTTCTTTTTAATACAGTTATATTCTCTTTTCTAGGTGGTGCGGTGATGCTTCTGGTTTATGAGTATGCTTCTGAGTGGCTGCAAGAAAACTGGTGATCAAAAATATGACTTTTAAAACCAGTGTGCACAACTGTGACCTCCAGGTGTTTCTTGGATTGCAACTTTGATCAGTATTATCTGCCATAGCCTGTAGTGAAGGCTCATGGGAGTAGAAGTCCCAAAAACATCTGGAAGGCCACAAGTGCTCATTCAGACTTCAAACAACACATATTAAGTTATGTTTCAGTATTAAATTGGAAGCAAATCTAACATAGTCTATCTCTAGATATAGATGCATCATTCAAAATTATCTCTTCTTAACTTAATATGCCAGATAATAAAAGGTGATATCACATAACTCTTTGGTAGAATGAAACACAATATTATATTTTAGTCACAGATACAAATGTACAAGCAATTTTACCAAACAAAGGCAACAGAAAACATATGGAGCAAGATCCTGCATTGGAGACTGCAGTGTGTAACGGAGCTACATCACTGGTGCAGTACACAAATATACTAGCATATTGTGATGATGCACATTACAGCAAATGGTCCTATTACATAATAGTAGTTGCCATTGTGCATCAGGACACATTGTGCCTTGGGGTGCAATAGATATCAAGGCATGGGTTTTCATAGGGAAGTATGAATTCAAATTATGGTCTCCCTGTGTCTTATGTATTGGACCATTGCACAAGTACCACACTGCTGGCTCCACTTGCTTTAATGATGTAATTATGTCTCAAATACTTTCCTTAGAATATTACTGTTGCAATTTAACTTTAAATTTGTGAGTTTACAATTATGCAACTTACCAACAGAATGTCAGTCACATTTGACAGCTTAAATGTTTGATTGATCAAGAAAAATATCACTTGAAAAGTTGTGTGTTTTTCAGTAACTGATCAATTGTCTGCTAATGATATTAGATAAAAATGTGCAGTGCCACTGTTGAGAAGCATTTTGAAGTACTGAAATTATCACTTAATAATAAAAGCTACCACAATTAATGAAATAGTGAATCTCTTCTTGAAAGGTGAATACACAGACCAAAATACTCATTGATGCAGCTATGGGAAGGAAGGCAGGGGATGAAGTAAGAGTATTGCTTCCCCATAAGAACACATTACGCCCCTCCCCACTGATGATGCCAACGACTTCTCTCTCAGTCCTGTCTGTCTAGCATTGCAGAAGTGGAGACATGTAAGATCATTTAAAATAATTCACACTGGGCAGTGTTTTCCTTGTTTACTGAACCTCATTTTTTTTTCTTAAGAACTTTCTCTGGCTACAAGAAAATAATGCAGCAACCTGTTCCTTCTATTGGGAACTGTGAAAGAGGTATATATAAATGCAATGATAAAGCTGGCTTTTACTGTATTTGATAAGAGTTCCACTTTGGGTCTCAAGTCGATATGATTAGATGTGCCTTATGGAAGCAGAATGCTTGTCCATCCAGTTATTCCTGATGTTGTATAGGAATCTGTTTGAATATGACTAAAATTCTTCCGTTCACCCTTCTATGGAGTCACAAGGCTCTTCTGATGTCTTCCATGCAATTTTGAAGAAGACAAGAGGCCCAGACAACCTCCCCTTCTTCTACCATTTTGAGAATGTAAAGGTGGGCAAAACAAAATGTAATGGTGGGCAAAACAGAATGTAATAGTGGGCTAAATTGTATAGAAGATGACATGTCTTTGGTGAATTATGTTGGTAAAAATCAGACTTATACCATCACAATTAGCTTTTCTGATCATTGCACAGGTTGTACTTTATTACTTACAATGCAATGAACAAAGTCCCCCTAAACACCACCTACTCTTCAGCAGGAGGAAGAGCAAAATAGAAGTTCATCTGTGTTCTTGTAGTGAATGCAGAGCAATGATATCAAATGTAGGGGCCTCCAAAGAACCCACAAAGTGCCTGCAAATGCCTGTTGCTATGTGTGCAGCGATATGAAAGAAGCTAGATGCTTGTCTCCTGTGCCCCCCATTCTCCACAAACCAGAAAATGGCCAGGTTATGATCTGGGAAACTGGCACTGAGAAAAGGTGATGATTAGAAAGTTGGATGGAAAACATGTTGTAGCTATATCTCCTAGTGCAGACTCTCAGCCAGGAAGTGAGAAATCAGATTCCCCAACATTTATTAAAAGTACTAAGAAGCATTTAAGTTTGGAAATCTTTGATTTTAAGTAGTAGTGCAGGTTAAAGGTACCTTTGGTACCATTTCCCCAATCTAAATCTCATTTTTCTCAGCTGCTGTTACCCAAGCAAAAGGGGGAAAAATGCAAGGTCAACAACATGTAACTGGCAACTAATATTCTGTAAGCAGATTTTTGCTTGTGTGGGAAGCATTCAGCCATACGAGTCTGCCAATTGTAGTTTAAAGCTGTCCAACATGGGAACAGTTTTGAAAAACAGGTCTCAATCCTTAATTGCCTAGTTCTTCCACATCTGCAATAAGCAGTTGTTAGGTCCCATCTATACTGCTTTATAAAATCCAGATGATTTGCTTTGAACTGAATTATAAGACTCTATACTACCATATAATCCAGTCCAAAACAGAAAATCTGGATTTTACATGGCAGTGTAGATGGGGCCTTAGAAAGGCAATATACAATATACAATTCCTAACGTAAGTGGCACAGTCTACTATTTTCAACTTCAAAGTTAGATAAAAAACATACACTTAAAGATGATCACACAAGATTTTCACTTATTTGTTTTCATAAAATGCAGCTATAAGAAAATAAAGAAGTTGTGAGCCCCCCTTTCCCCCTTTGTTTCCCTGATGGTACCACCCCACAAGAAGCTGCCAACTTATAGAGACTTACTCGTTAAAAATAGAAACGACAACTCATGGAATTTAAAACTGCAGGAAGAACTGGTCCGGACCTTTAAAAATTTAACATGGCTACAGTACTTCCAGCTCTGAGAAACATTTAAGCAAGATGAGAAGTTCAGCTTTGAAGAAAAAGAGACAACCTGGGACGCAGTGCTGAAAACGGAAAAGAAAATCATCACCAAGTTATACAATCAGCTCCTAACCTGGGAAACGGAAACAGAGGAAATTAAAAATTGCATGATCCTCTGGGCCAAAAACATCGGGCGACCTATAAAGCTACACGAATGGCAGTTGATTTGGCGGAAGAAGCTAAAATACACCTACTCCTCGGCGTTAAAAGAAAACTGGCTTAAAACCTTCCACCGATGGTATCTTACACCATACAAGCTGAGCCAAATGTACAAAAAATATCAGAACTCATGTTGGAAGTGCAAGGTACACCCAGGCACCTACTTCCCCATGTGGTGGTCCTGCCCAGCGGTGCAGAAATTTTGGCTAGGTCTTCAGGAAGAAGCACAAAAAATATTTAAGAAGAAATTCCCTAGAAAGCCGGAGTATTTTTTATTAGGGTTGACAGACGAAGATTTCAAACTTAGCAGCAATGAGGACATTATATGGATGTACATATCTACCGCAGCGAGAATCGTTCTGGCAAGACACTGGAAAGAAGATCGCTTACCTAATATCGAAGAATGGTTAGACAAAATCTCTGAAATAAGAGACATGGACAAACTGACGTTCCTTATGAGCTCTAGCTCCGGAAGACCAGTTAGACACACGGACTGGTCTAGTTTCAACGAATACGAAAGTAAGAGATACGAATGTTAAAAAATGACCAGGAGCAAAATAGAAGAGACACGGATGAGTCGACCCTTAGACAGTAAGATGCAGACCAACCCAGGGGACCCACAGGGAGTCTCCTTAGGGATTTGGAGGACACTCTGAGAGGAAATCAAACAGAAGTCACCTCTTACCCCCCCCCCCCCCATTCCTACTCTTCCACGGGAAGGACATGGGACCCATGTCTTTCATGGGATGTGTTTGTACCATGTTTATGTATTTTTTAAATCTGCAGAATTCAAAGGTTTAGTGTTAAAATAATATTTATGGAAATCTCTTTCCTTCCCCCCCCCTCCTATCTCTACCCATCCCCCCCCCATCCCTTTCCCTACCCTCCAGGTTGCCCCCATCCCCTTTCCGTTTTATGTCCCTTTCCTTCAATGTATGTACATATTATGCATTTTAAAATCAATAAAGAACATTATAAAAAAATAAAAAAAGAAGCTGCTGTTTGCTGCCATTTTTAATTGCAGATAGCAGCTATGGGAAGGGAAGCAGAACCAGGAAAAAAATCTATACAGACTTCCTGTGTCATGCTCTCCTTGCAGACTGGGAGTTGTGTTTTAATACAATGAAAAACATGGAATCCCAAACAAGCATATAATCTGTAGTTAAAATTAACAATGCAATTCTATACATGTATAAATTGAGTGGGTATGTGGAATCATAGATCATAGAATCATAGAGTTGGAAGAGACCTCGTGAGTCATACAGTCCAACCCCTTTCTGCCAAGAAGCAGGAAAATTGCATTCAAAGAACCCCCGACAGATGGCCATCCAGCCTCTGTTTAAAAGCCTCCAAAGAAGAAGCCTCCAACACGCTTCAGGGCAGAGAGATCCACTGCTGAACAGCTCTCACCGTTAGGAAGTTCTTCCTAATGTGCAGGTAGAATATCCTTTCCTGTAGTTTGAAGCCATTGTTCTACATCCTAATCTCTAGAGCAGCAAAAGACAAGCTTGCTCCCTCCTCCCTTTGACTTCCTCTCACATATTTATACATTGCCATCATGTCTCCTCTCAGCCTTCTCTTTTGCAGGCTAAACATGCCCATCTCTTTAAGCCTTTCCTCATAGGGCTTTTCCTCCAGACTCTTGATCATTTTAGTCGCCCTCCTCTGGACACATTCCAGCTTGTCACCATCTCCCTTTAATTGGAGTGCCCAGAATTGGACACAGTATTCCAGGTGTGATCTGACCAAGGCAGAGTAGAGGGGTAGCATGATTTCCCTGGATCTAGACACTATACTCTGATTTACGCAGGCCAAAATCTCATTGACTTTTTTTTTGCCTCCGCATGACATTGTTGGCTCATGTTCAACTTGATGTCCATGAGAACTCCAAGATCTTTTTCACACATCCTGCTATTGAGCCAGGCATCCCCCATTCTATATCTTTTCATTTCATTTTTTCTGCCTAAGAGGAGTATCTTGCATTTGTCTAGTGAACTTATCTTTTTAATTATAGTGTTGCTTATATAATATTCTTGTTAGCATCAGGTTGTTGAGATAGAGCATATATGAAATAGCTAGCATAATACCAGTTATGTCTTCATTCCCATCCTGAAGATATTAGGCATTGTGTAATGGTGTAATTCAAGATTACATGACCATAAGTCAGTTTATAATAACATAACTTCCCAACAGGATGCTGTCCAAAATATGTAACTTTGAATATATGTAGATGGCAGTCCCAATATGGGCAATAACACTTTTCAACTTGCAATGAATAAACATGCTGTTCAAGTGCAGCTACTGTGAAAAGAGATTAATGCAGGCTTCTTTATGGCAAGAGAAGATGAAGACCAAACTCACATCACAAGCCCATTTCATTTATTGCATTTAAATCTTAGACTTTCTCTAAGGATCTCAGAGAATTATTTCAACCTGACAGTAGTCCTGGGAGGTAGATTAGGCTGATGGAGAGAGCATTTCCAGAAAACTAAATTAGGCATTAAACTAAAGAAGTAGCTACTGCCAAGCTGAAGTGAGTAGGGTTCCAAGTTCAATCCCTGAAGCAGATCATAGAATCAAAGAGTTGGAAGAGACCTCATGAGCCATCCAGTCCAACCCCCTGCCAAGAAGCAGGAATCTTTCATTCAAATCACCTGACAGATGGCCATCCAGTTTAAAAGCTTCCAAAGAAGGAGCCTCCACCACACTCCGGGGCAGAGAGTTCCACTGCTGAATGGCTCTCACAGTCAGGAAGTTCTTCCTCATGTTCAGATGGAATCTCCTTTCTTGTAGTTTGAAGCCATTGTTCCTTGTCCTAATCTCCATGGAAGCAGTAAACAAGCTTGCTCCCTCCTCCCTGTGGCTTCCTCTCACATATTT